GGGTCACGGACCCGCAGATTTCCCAGCCAAGCTGCCGCTCACGCAACTCAAAGTCGATGCAGGTGATGCCTGGCAGAGTCCCAAACAATGCGCTGCGGGTCACGGACCCGCAGATTTCCCAGCCAAGCTGCCGCTCACGCAACTCAAAGACGATGCAGGTGATGCCTGGCAGAGTCCCAAACAATGCGCTGCGGGTCACGGACCCGCAGATTTCCCAGCCAAGCTGCCGCTCACGCAACTCAAAGACGATGCAGGTGATGCCTGGCAGAGTCCCAAACAATGCGCTGCGGGTCACGGACCCGCAGATTTCCCAGCCAAGCTGCCGCTCACGCAACTCAAAGATGATGCCCTGTCAGACCAAGCTTGCTGTAAGCAGGAGCATACATACTGGTCCAAATGGCAATTGGTGTATGTTTGCATGTTTCCTCATGGCTCGTACCTGGAGGACCCGACAACCCATTCACTAACCCCAAATCTATAGTGCCCTCCTTTGGATTCATTTGGACTTGACGGTGGTGCAAACGTCTGGTTTTTGTTCTTTGTTTTTTCTTCTTGGGTTCTTTGGTTCCTTGTGTTTGTTCTTTGGTTCTGTTGTTTTGTTCTTTGGGCTGCAAACACCAAAGTGTTTGTCACAAGCCGGAAAACGACAGAATCTGAGCCCAGACTTGGGCCAACATTTGAAAGAGAGCATCTCATATCTTTGCCCTCTATGGTTGTTGTTGGGAAACATTTTACTCATTTTTGCTTATTGTGGTTTAGTGGTTGAAATCCAACCACTTAGCTGCTATTTTTTTTCAAATAGAGAACGGATCTAAGTCCCAGGGTTGAATGTTGTGAAGGCGAGTTTTGGGGGAGGCACTAGCTCTACCTCGCCCTCCTCGCCCAGCAGCCGAGAAAGCTCGAAGCAAGCGACTGGCAGGGCGCCTCAGGCTGGAAAAGACTTTCAGGCTGGATGATTGGTCTTCCCATCGACAACGAGCTGTTTGTGGAAACACTGGGGACCGAGAGGTTTTGTTCAGCTTGCTTCAAGCGACACCTGAAAGTCTGCAGGACAATTGTTGATTTGTTTGTAGCAGGGAGCTAGCACTTCAGTAAGTGGTATATGATATGGCTTTGGTGCCCGCCGAAAACAGCCACATGCGCGGTTTTCTGGCTCCTAGTTTTGGACCCACACCCATATGGAGGCCGTTCCAAGTTGCAAGTCTTGAATCATGTAAAGGGTGGTCCTGAAGTGCCACGGCGAAAGGAAAAGCATCGAAAGGAATCCGAAAGGACTGCACAGACAATACGAACAACACATCGCATTATGTGTTGTTCGTTTTGTGCTGCTGGTGGCAAGGGTTGCAGCTTGTTACGTGGAGCTGCGCCGGCGATTTTCCCAGTTTCAACGAGGAAATCCCTCGAAACGGCGAGCTTCCGAAACTGCGGCCAAGCAGTTGGTCCAGAATTCAAAAGTGACACTTCCAGCAGGTTCTTGTCAAGTGCCTTAAGCGCTCCTCAACAAGCACAGTGGAAAGCCATTGCTCGGAAACCAGCTTTTCAAAACTGAGGCCCCGCAAAAGGAAAACAGGGGGCCGCGAAAGTGAAGTTTTCAGGCACCTCAATTTTGAGCAACGGCCATTTAGCTTCCAATACTGTGACTTACTCAGATTAGAGACTGCAGACAAGTCGGCGAGCGCCATCCGTGGCCCTTGTCAGACTGGTGACAACTTCGTTCCTTCTGACTAGTGCAGGATTTCGTCCATCCACAGTACTTGTGTTGCTTGACTTCGCGCTGCAGGTGTGCCAGTTGTGGTACCGCCAGCGGAGCAGTCTCAGCAGTCAGGCAGACGGTTTTGTGTATGTCCAGTATGCCCAAGTGTGTGTTGCTTTATGCAAGAGGCCGAATTTGCGGACCTTGCATGGTAAGCATTATGATTCTTTGGATCGTGTTGACATGATCTTAGGTTTTACTAGACATGGACCAACATGTCCGTATTACCAGATTGAGGTGGTCATCATTCGGTGAACGTGGGTTAGCTCGTTTGGCGCTGGACAGGCTCCGGAAATACTCCTAGCAAGGGAGCAGGCTTGGAGCTTAGATTTAGTGGATGCTGTTTTCATGTTGTTTGACCCGTAGGGATTGACCCAGTTTCCTTGAACCGCTGTTTTGAAGCTGAGTTGTCAATTATGAGGGCAAGTGCTGGTGTGCGATCTGGTTGCCACTGGTCACAGTCTGGTCACTCTATGGGAATGCTGACCGAACACCTATATTCGGTAGAAACTACCATGACTTTCACACCTGATATAAAATTAATGGGACCAACCTATGGACATTGTCCGATGCTGGTTTGGTGTTCGAACATTCATGCAGGGGACCCCTGTCCAAGCCGTTTGCACTTCGCTGCGGGTTTGGCCCATAGCGGTGAAGGGAGCACTTCTCCCCACACTGAGAGAAAACTCAAGTCTACGTGGAGTGCAGTTTGTGTGCAGGTCCACATGAGACGGTGCCAGAGCATCTGATGAAGCGGAGACTGTCAGGCACCTCGATTCACCGGGATGTTCTGTGTTTGTGTGGTAGGAAGGTGCCAAAAGCAAATCGTGACCGAAGCTGATGTGAGATGACACTGTCAGACTCTGGGTTTCACTCAAAGTAGGCTCGAAGGGCATGGGACATCCGTGTAGCTTGTTTCGTTGTGCTTGAGTTGTCTCGGGTGTGCTGCGATTTTGGCACGAACTCTTTTGAGCCCTTGCGTGGGTCCAGCTCTGAACAAGCAACAATCCAGCAGGTCGCATTTTTTGCAGGTTGCTGTGATTTATCCGCGTGAAATGTACAGCGCAAGTCAAGAAAGCAATTTCAAATTCTGGCGTTTGCAATGAGCCGTGGTCAAAATTTATGAGAATTCTGCTAATCAAGGGCAACATCACTGTGCCAGACACGTTCTGTGTGGTTTGCCATGATCAATACAGGATTCTGACGGATAATGACCTATATAAGAGAACGGCTCCAAGGGAATTGTCAATTTCCGGTGTGGCAGCAACTAGCGTTGACAACTGCTCACCTACCTGTTGTGTCGGCAGGCTTTTCCTTTCCTGCGAAAAGAAGGCGAAAGGCGAACCTCCGTCATTCGCCGCATGAATTTTGCAGGATCGCTTTCGTATCCCCCCTAAGAAATGTACGGAAGGTGGCTGTACACCTAATCAACGATCATTCCGCCTGCCACTTTTCCTCGGACCTCCATGGTTTTTCTTCATAGGGGGTAGGATAGGGGGCGTCGCGCATGCAGGTTCGGGCCCCTTGCCGCAACTGTCGAGCACCCCAGGTGCGCAGGTTGCAGTCGTTCAGTGGGCTTCTTTTGGTGGCCTGGCTCCTTCAAAACCGAAGGCGAGATGTTGCCTCCAGTTTATCTTGCTGATGAGAATTGAAACGGCGTTCTCGCTTGCCTTGTCCCAAGCGCAGAAGCTTTGCAAGATCTTTCTGCAAGATCAACCCTGGGTACCCAGCTTGCCTCCGGGATTGAAAGCTCCATCCAGTTCGTCCGTGGGTGCTGTTTACGCCCAGGCGATTCACAGCTGGCGCAGTGGCATCAGGGGTGGTGAAGCATGACTTGCTTGGCCAACTTTTGTTTTTTGCTTGGCAGATGTTGAACACAAGGATCCTTGCAACCTTATGGTCAGATCCACCGCAGATTCGCGAATACATGCCAGGTCTTCGTGGAACCGAAGTGTTTTGGTGACTCAGTTTGCTATTCAGGAGTTTCAGGAGTGCCTGTACCGGAGTCAACGCCAGAGAAGCGATCGGGCCTGTACGCCCTTGCCAGAACATGCTGTATGCGCGCGTGATGCAGCATGTCAATGACAGGATATGACCCAAACACTGGGGTACAAGCATGCATGTTCTTGTTCTGATTTAGCACTTGGGGCATAAGCGATCCAATTGAGCAGGTTTCGAGTGTCCCATTGGGGGTGCAAGTGAGACTGGGATATGGTCCTCAAGGGTAAGGGAGGTAGCAAATTTCTTGGCTACAACATAAGGAAATGGGACCTGCCATACTCAACGGCCATGCACTGTGGGAGTTGACTGAAGACAGTGGCAAGCCTGGGATTGGCCTTTTGCACTTGCCGCAGGCATCACCCCTTCCTGCGCACAAGGCCCGAACCTGTACATGAGACTTCAGGGGGAGGTGGGCCATGTGCCCAGTTTGGCGGCCTCTGCAGAGCCAAATATGGAGCGGGGCACAAGCCTTTGTTTGGGACCTGTTTTGAGATCTCTGGCATGTTCATGTTGACTAAATACCAACTATAATCCAACAAATCCATTTTGGGAAGCAAAAGCTGATGTAGTTGCTGGCTTGGCCATGAACCATGATGTGAATAGCATGGAAGAATCTTACGGGGGCGTGTGACAAAGCGCGCTCGAACGAAGCTTCCTATTCTGTTCAGCATTATTATTTGACCAAACCCTCGTTTTGTACTTCTGCAAGCTAATTGGTAGACACATGGTCAGCACAAGATGCAGCTTTGGTTCAAGTGACAAGGACGCAGAGCCACAAAGCAAACTCAGCGGACACTGCTGTCCATGCACAACTATGTACGCTAAAATGTCAAAGATATGGTGCTTGTGCTGCAGGGCTCGATTCGTGATCTTGTTTGTGTGTGTGCGTGCTGACATAGACGTCAGCCCACTTCACAAACGGAGTGGTCTTGATATATCACCTTAAGAACTACAGTCAGTGGCTGTTTTTGTTTGCTTGCGAGCTTGAAGGTAAACTGCTTGTATCAGGCTTGTGATGCAGCAACGCAATCACTCCCCCTATCAAAAAATGACCCCCTACAAATCGTTTTTTTCAAAATGTCCCAATGCTGAATGAACCCATGCCAAACTTGCAGATTTCTGGCCAACCCCAGCTTCAGTGCTAGTTGAGGGCTCTCGGCCGTCTCCCAAAGCAATTGTTGAGGTATTAATTATTTTTTAAAGTTGTAATCATAAATTGCTGCTTAAATGTGATTTGACAAATCCAAATCAGTGCCTTGGGAGCCCCCCTGCCCCCTGGTTACCGGGAGGGGAATGTCCGTATTGGGGGAGGGGATACTTATTTTAGGGGGGCAGTGACTACTGTCAATCCCGCAGGGCAACCACAAGAGCAGGCCGTGCCGGAGAAGCGGTCAGGCACGTGCATTTTTCTTGAGGGAGCGAAGATTGAGACGTGTTTCTCTGACAAGTCCGGCTTTTTGCACCCGGCCTTTTAGCTGTATACGGCAACAAGCGCCGTCTGCCCCAGCTCTCAGTCGAGGCTTCGCAGTCTTGTCTCGAATGTTGTGAGATATTTGCTTTTAGAAGCCTGAATTTTGATGGCACTGTTGTTTTGAGTCGATTCCCAAGAAGAAGAACGCACGCGCGTTGCTCTCACATGTCTTTTACCAAGCTCGGGCAATATTTCTGGTGAACTGATCCACGAGCCTCGTGTCGTTGAATTGCGAAGGTGTTTGATTTGCTTGGTGACAGGTGCTGGCATTTTGCCGAGGAGCAACTCAGGCTTGCCGGGTGATGAGGGGATCTTTCTCCACTGGCCCCTCAATCAAATGAAGGGCAGCGATGCAGAGATTTTGGCACATGGCCATCCTTTCTCACTCTTCTGCACGTCAGAGATCAGGGCACACAGTGTGTATTTTGTTTACTCCTCTGAGCAGTTGAGTCAGAGTGCCACAACGGAACAGCAGGTTTATGCAACGGCGCAGATGTTGGTCTTGTAGATTGGTTTCGCTGCGCCAGGCGTGCCACACGTGGCACCACCCGAACAGCCTGCGCCAGCAGAGAAGCTGTCAGGCACATTGGGTTTGGTGTTGAGTAGTTGTGTAGTTTGCTTCTAGGAAGGCACGGCAGAATTTCCGAGCTTTTCCGAGCTTGTGCAGATGTGGCATCACTGACCATAACACCACTGAAAGCGCTTGTAGCGCATCCATGTAGGATTCTCCCCTAGCACTGCTGTGTCAAAGCATTTGTTTGATTTGCATGGTATGCACATGCGGCTGCGGCAGGCCCCAACACTCCTCCCCGGACGGGCAGACAAGGCCACAGCGCACGCATTTTCTGACTGAAGGGTGGGTGGATGCTAACATCTTCCACATGATGCTGGTTTTCTCCTGTTGTGAGGCAGCTTGGATCTTGCATGTGACCTCGCTGTGACTGCCGCTGTTCGTGCTCTTGGCCAAACAATAGAACAGCTCATTGAAAAGCGTGCTTGGATCGAGCCCTGCTGTGACATCACTTCTGCCGTGCTGTAGTTCAGAGTTTAATTTTGCTTGCTGCAGTCGAGGAATCTCAGTGGGCTAACGGCCAGCGCAATGCTATTGAGCTAGGTTTGCTATTTTGAACGGAGGTGCAGCAAGTCACAGATCCTTGTGTCTTCAATCCTCAATGAGGCTTCTGATGCACTGCGATTTTGGCAGAATTTGGCACTGCGGTCAAATTGTCCCAGGCGTGCAACATGTGCTGCCACAAGAGCAGCCTGCGCCAGCGCCAGCTAGCTGGGAGCATTGCTCAGGCAAGTGGTTTGGTACCGACTGTTCTCTAAACGCATCGTTGGGTGCAGAATTTGCTGCGTCAGCAGATGCGGACACGTTGCCATTCGCACTGCTCATGTCAACCTGCAAAATCATTCCGACCGGAGGTACTTGTAGTGTGTTCATGTTGGATCTCCCTATCACAAATGCTGTGTCGAGGCTTTGCTTGATTTGGATGGCGTGCGGATGCGGCAGGCCCCAGCACTCCTCCCCTGACGAGCAGACAAGGCAAGATGCCGGCGCAGCGCAAGCATTTGCTGGTTGCAGGTTGATAAGGTGGTAGCATGTTACAAATGGTGCTGCTGATAGGTTTTGCTCTAGACACACGTTCTTCATGTTCATGTGAGGCAGCTTTTGTTTCACACGTGGCACACTGACTGCCCCTGTTCGTGCTTGGCCAAACAACGAAAGAGCTCATTGAAAGCGTGCTTGGATTGAGCCCTGCCGGGACACCACTTCTGCTGTCTTGCATGTCAGAGTTTAAGTGTGCGAGCCGCAGTTGAGGAGTTTCAGGAGTTTCCGGACGGCATATTATATTTGGCACAGGTTGGGAGTCGCAGGTCCTTGCTTCAATTAACGGGGCTGATGCACCGCGAATTTGGTGCATGCAGATTGCCACAGGCATCCAGCATGGGCCACCAGAGCAGCCTGCGCCGAGCGAGGAGAATGGATCAGGCAAGTCTGGGGTTGACTGCTTGCTTCATTCTTTGTTTTCTTTGCTGGGAATGCAAGGAGGGCTTGTGTGTGCAGTAGGTGTGGCACCGTGATTGTGGAATAGATCGGATACGTGTGTGGCATTTTTATGGCTGGATTTCGGAGGATTGGGGTGCAGTTTGGCTGCCTCACAAAATACTGGCATGTTGCTATACGCATTAGCCATGCTAAATAATTGATGGTACTTGTAGTTCATTCATGTAGGATCCCCCCCCATCACAACTGCTGTGTTGGCATTTGTTTGTTTTGCATGGTGTGCGGCAGGCCCCAGCACTCCTCCCCTGACAGGCAGACAAGCTAAGATACGGGCGCTGGTTGCAGGGTCAGTTAGCGCTAACATGTCACAAATGGCTCAAGAATGGATCCTGAAGCGCAGCGTATCATATATATTTGATGAATTTTAACATCTCCATTCATGGCGTGTGTTCGGAGAGTCACAGGGCAGGACATCATGAGCGAGGAAGAGTTTGCTCAGTGGTGGGAAGGGTGCCAGCAACTCCGCGAAGATGGCGTACGCTTTGTTGACGCCCTTCGGCAGGAACTGGCCAGGCGTCTTCAGCTGAAAAACTTCCGGCTGCTCGCTCTGGCGGGCGAATCTGTGCTGGGCCTAAACAGCCCCTGGCTCATGCAACCCTTGGTGGTCGTCGTGCGGCAATACGTTTGTGACGAATGCTCCCCGGAGCTCTGTCGGGCAGCTGGCGAGGGCCACATGGAACGAGTGCTTAGCCTGTTGGAGAAACCTTGCGACCCAGACATCAGGGATGCAAGGGGAAGAACAGCTTTGCATGAGGCTGCCTTTGCCGGACATGAAGATGTTGCCTGCTGCTTGCTGGAAGCTGGCGCCGACAAGGAAATATGTGATATATTTGAGGGGCAGACGCCTTTGAACCTAGCTGCCTTCCAAGGACGGTTGGACATGGTGTGTTGCCTGCTGGATGCTGGCGCGGACAAAGACAAGCCCAATTCGCTTAGTGGGCGTACGCCCATGCATGAGGCTGCCTTTGCCGGACATGCAGACGTTGTCCGTTGCTTGCTGCTAGCTGGTGCAGACAAGGAGAAAGTGGAAATTTCTGCCAGGCTTACTCCCATGCATTTAGCTGCCTTTAAGGGACGCTTGGAAGTTGTGCGCTGCTTGCTGGAAGCTGGAGCTGATAAGGAGCAACTTAGCTCGTCTTTCGGGCGCACGCCCGTGCATGAGGCTGCTTTTTCCGGTCATGCAGATGTTGTTCGTTGCTTGCTGGCAGCTGGTGCAGCGAAGGAGAAAGGCGATACTTTCGAGGGGCTCACGCCCATGCATCTAGCGGCCTTCCAAGGACAACTGGAAGTGGTGCGTTGCTTGCTGGATGCTGGCGCGGACAAGGACAAGCCCAATTCTCTTAATGGGCGCACGCCTATGCATGAGGCTGCCTTTGCTGGACATGCAGATGTTGTGCAATGCTTGCTGGAAGCTGGTGGTGACATGGATAAAGCCGACACCTCCGGCGGGCAAACGCCCATGCATCTAGCTGCCCGCCAAGGGTGCCTGGAAGTTGTGCTCTGCTTGCTGGCGGCTGGGGCAGACAAGGACCTGGCTTCTGTTGGGCGCACGCCCATGGATGAGGCTGCATTTGCTGGACATGAAGATGTTTTCCGCTGCTTGGCCAACGCGTCTGGCGGACAAAGGCCCATGCATTTCGCTGCCTTCCTACGTTCATGGGCGAGCAGCTGTGGCTGTGCAAATGGCTGCTTTGGCAGATCAAGATAACGCATTGCTTGCGGAAAACGCTGAAAGCTAGGGCGCACGAAAAATGCAGTGGACTAGGAGCAACTCACCGTGTCGGTGCAACTGATTTTCTGAGTAGATGTCGGTTCAAGACAAAAGACATTGTGGGAATGGGGCTCTGCTCCCAGACATCGTTGGTAGCAGCTTGGGGGTCACAGCGATTGCCACAGCACGCACTGGGCCAATCAGTGTAACAGCTTTGGTTTTCCAGTGGTTTATGTTCCAGGCGAATAGTTGTTTTGCTGGTCTTTCAGGCCAGTGAGTATTTGCATGTGGAAAATCTACATCTTGCGAAGTTGCCCGGATGGGGCCGCGGTCCTCACCCTTGATTGCTCTCGGGTTTTCACCCCCTTTGAAGCCGGCTATGTATGTATGCAGCACAGTTTGAGTGCTTTTGGATCTTGAGGGTCCATTATTTTGTTCGTCCAAACGCTGTAGTTGACGTAGGGTTCCTTACCTCTCCCCTGTTTGGTGGTTTTAACGTTGCCCCAGACTTCCTTTGAAGACTTCAACAAGTCCAAAGCGGGTTTGGAGCAGGCTCCGTTGCCATATCCATCGTGCCGTTTGGTATTTCGGAGTTGAAGTTTGCTAGCGAACAATTTTCTGTTTTTTTCACACGGGCCGGTCAAGGCTTAAGATGTCTTGCGGAGCTGCAGTTCCGGATCCTTGCTTCTTCAATCCTCAACGGTGCTTCTGTTGCAGAGCCTAGGTCCCCCAGTAGTGCCCTTCTCTCCCCTTTGTTGGTTGGGAAGGTTCCCCTACTAAAATAGACTACAGAAAAAAGTTTGCTTTTTTGGGGGGAAGGTTCCCCTACCAAAATAGACTATATACAGACAAAAGTTGACAAAAGTTTGCCATTGGGGCACCCTTATTCTAACCTCTCTACTGGAGGACCAAGGAGCGAAAAAAGGGCACTGCAGTCTTGCCCCAGGCGTCCCACCTTCCGAGCAGCCTGCGCCAGAGAAGCGGTCAGGCGCTTTGATCCGGAGTTGACTGGTTGCTAAGCGGTGGGTTTGTTGCATGTTGCTTGGATGTTAGAACTTTAACCTCTTGCCAACCAATGAGTTTTCCGTAAAACCACTAGCAGTTAAACTTTGAGGAGGGGAGCAGAAAGCAACCAAGTCGTGTTTGGTGTGCAAGGAGGTTTCTTTGTGCAGGTGTGGCATCCTGTATAGTTCTAGGGGTTGATTCCCCATTCTTCTCAACCATCGTTCTTTTCGAAAGCCAGCCGTTTTCCCTGGGTTTCCGGAGGCTTTCTAGAAAGAAGGAACCCTGGAAAGCATGGGGAAGGTATCCCTACAATAGTGGAATGCGGCGTGCACGTCGGTGTCTCGGCTGTGGCCCCGACAGCGGTGGCATCCATGTTGAAATGCGGCAGGCTCCAGCACTCTTCCACCGACTGGCAGACAAGGCAAGATGCTGGGGCAGCACAGGCATTTGCTGGTTGCAGGGTGGAAAGGCACTAGCATGGCATGCATGGTGCTGCTGATGGTATGGACGTTTGATTGCCTCACGTTTATGCAAGGCAGCCTGGATCACGTGTGAGACCGCGTTGTGACTGCCACAGTACGCACTGGGCCAACAAATGGAAGAGTTTGAACTAGTTCAAACCAGGAACCCCCCACGGTTCAACGTGAAGTCATGTTCGACGTGTTGCATTCCTGAGTTCATTCTGAGTCATTGCACCGTCTAAAGGCTGCTGACGCAATGCGCGGAATGTGGTTTCTTTGGCACTGCAGTCAGTCTGCCTCAGGCGTGCCTTCAGCACAGCCTGCGCCTGCGCCAGAGAATGGGTCAGGCAAGTGGTTCTGTGCTGATTGGTTGTTGGTTTTTGCTTGTCGGAGTGCAAGGATGTGTTTTGGCACAGTAGGCGTGGCTTTCTGTAAGTAGCATGCATTGTGTACGTGTCTTGGGTGCTGGCCTGCATTCCTTAAGCATGGGCTGCAAGTTGTGTAGAGGCAGACATACGTATTGACCATAATTGCGGGAATTCATCCAGACTTTATACATATAGTGCATTCATGTCACTGTGTTGTTCTTCCCGCGACTGATGTGTTGAACACTTGTTTGATTTACATGGAATGCGGCAGGCCCCAGCACTCCGCCTCAGACGAGCAGACAAGGCACCACGCCAGCGAAGTGTCAAGTATTTGCCGCTTCCAGGGTGGGTGGTGATAGCATTTTGCGCCCCAGACATGCTTACTTTGTTCGTGTCAAGCCGCTTCTCTCTTGAGTCTTGCGACTTGGCTGGGTTACAGTGGTTGCTACAGCAGGCGCTAGGCGCTGGGCCAAATAAAAGAGTTCGACCAGTTTAAAGGGTATGGTTTGTTCATGTGAACATAGGCTCATGAGACTTCAATTGGAGGCGGATGTTGCAGGTTTGCTAGCTGGCATTTGGTAGCATTCCGTATAGAGCTATGATATTTCTGAATTCTTCTGTACGCATTGACCATGTGCAGTTTTCTTCGCACTCAAACTACTTGTTGTGCATTCACGCACCTACGCTGCACCTTGACATGTTTTGTGTTCATATATGTTGAGAGTTGCTCTGATTTGCATGGAATGCAGCAGGCGCCAGCACTCTTCCCCCGACTGGCAGACAAGGCAAGATGCCGGGGCAGCGCAAGCATTTGCTGGTTGTAGGATAGGAAGATGGTAGCGTGGCACAAAATCCCCAATCATTGGGTGGTTAGCGTGGCACAAAATCCCCAATCATTGGGTGGTTCGAAAGACGGTGGCTGATTGCACAAGTGTTTGTGCCCAGGCGAGAATGCGTCATGTTTATGCAAGGCAGCCGTGGTCCCGTGTTTGATCTCTCTGTGACTGCCACAGTATGCGCTGGGCGAAACAATGCCAAAGTGAAATCATGCTTGATGTGTTGCATGCCTGAGTTCAAGATTCTGTGTGAACATCACAAATTCTGCAAGTTTGCTTGCTGAAATTTCAGCAAATTATGTTTTAGGGCCTGTGAAATCATGTGTAGCTAGACAGCGGAAGTTCTTCAAAAGCAGCATCGAATTGCCAATCCTTGCCTTTGCCAAGTAACTTGAAACGTAGCACCCTATCGCACCGTCTAAAGCCTGCTGACGCAATCCACGGAATGTTGTTTCTTTGGCACTGCAGTCAGTCTGCCTCAGGCGTGCCTTCAGCACAGCCTGCACCGGCGCCAGAGAATGGGTCAGGCAAGTGGTTCTGCGCTGAGTGGTTGTTGGTTTTTGCTTGTAGGAGTGCAAGGATGTGTTTTCGCACAGTAGGTGTGGCTTTCTGTAAGTAGCATGCATTGTGTACGTGTCTTGGGTGCTGGCCTGCATTCCTAAGCATGGGCTGCAAGTTGTGTAGAGGGACACCAGACATACGTATTGACCATAATTGCGGGAATTCATCCAGACTTTATACATATAGTGCATTCATGTCACTGTGTTGTTCCTCCTCGACTGATGTGTTGAACACTTGTTTGATTTACATGGAATGCGGCAGGCCCCAGCACTCCGCCTCAGACGAGCAGACAAGGCACCACGCCAGCGAAGTGTCAAGTATTTGCCGCTTCCAGGGTGGGTGGTGATAGCATTTTGCGCCCCAGACATGCTTACTTTGTTCGTGTCAAGCCGCTTCTCTCTTGAGTCTTGCGACTTGGCTGGGTTGCAGTGGTTGCTACAGCAGGCGCTAGGCGCTGGGCCAAATAGAAGAGTTCGACCAGTTTAAAGGGTATAGTTTGTTCATGTGAACATAGGCTCATGAGACTTCAACTGGAGGCGGATGTTGCAGGTTTGCTAGCTG